AATAAGTGGCTGGTTGATGAGGTAAGAAAATAAAGTGTTATTAGTCTAAAGCTAAAATATAAAAAATATATATTTAATTGATTTTTATGCAGGTGATTGGTGCATACATTCATCATCTGATTGCAAAGCATCAGGCAAGTGTGAATTATGTTTATTTCTGGGTTATGTTAGTTGCATTATTATTTTGCATTATAATTTTCCATCTATTGAAACAGGAACCTGTTCGACAGTTTGATGCTGTACTGTCATCTGTATTTTATGGTGCAATAGAAAATCTTGGAAAGGAAGGTGACTTGTTATAATTACATTTTTATATATTAAATATATCTATTTATAATTAAATTACCGATTTGGCTTTCTACCTTTTCTTTAGATTAAGTTTCCAGTCGAAGATCTTTGGTTAGGCCTTGTAAACGTTGGAGCTCACTGGATTTTATTGGTATTTATTATTAAAATAATTTAACTTCCCTTTCTTTACTTATGCTGCCATGCACTATTGTAGTCTGTGTCTATTCTATGTATATTCTATGTAAACATATTTAACTACAATCCTATGACACCACAATGCTCATTTGCTCTATAAAGTGTTGGCAAAAAGTAGGTCTACAGTAGAATGATATATAATAGTGCCATACTGTATGTAATGGTTAACAAATATTGCGTATAGTATTGCAGTCACAAACACATCGATAGAATGCTTAAAACTCATAAGTGGAAGTGATCTCCGGTCTTCTCATTCCGATATCCCAATAAAATTGATGTGGAGCGAGGGGAAAAAAGATACATTGAGTAGATCCTTATGGTAAAGAGAACATTTATTTGAAAACTTACAATCGCTTAAAAAATACAGGCATATCACCAACTCCATTGAAGAATCCACCAGGGAAAAATCAAGGTACTGGAATTGATATAAATATAAAACCAATAACTCAATATACATTCCTAGGCGTTTCGTCCAATCATATGGACTTCAGGGACAATGCAAAACAATCAGTTATATAATCAGTTTACTGACTGTTTACTTATGATCACCGATATTTAAATGACAATTTCTTCTGTTGTGACGTTTATTGATCACACTATATACAAACCTGGGTGATTTAGCAATATATTTTTTAAATTGTCATCATGTCCAAGAAAGTCGTTGTGCTAATGGATCCAATGGTAAATGAAAACTGCAATGTTTCAAAAGTGCAACACAACTTGCAATAAGGGTGCCTCAGAAAACCATTTTAACTTCACATAAGCTTTTATAAACAAGTGATTCCAATTTTTTTATTTTTAAATCTGTTACTTTTGTTAAAGTATCTTCTTGCGGATGTACAAGCCGGATGAACAGCCAGATCAATGGAAAACATGGATAATGTACCACAACAACCAGCAGGATTCCACTAGTTGTGGAGTTTTAATCTTGATGGTAAAAAGTTTTCTAACATAGTAAAAGCCACTCATAACAAATGCGATCTGCAGTTACAAATGTGAATTATTATTTTACAGTTTGCCAAGGAGTTCCTATGGACACGAACAATCAGTGAAGTGAAGATCTCTCCGGAATATATAAGGGATGCACGACTGGAAATAGCTTGTGCCTTACTCCAGTATAAAGGTCAGCTCTATCACACAATGCACGAAAGCTTTGCCTTGGAAAATTGTGTTCAGACTCAAAATCCACTAAGATTAAATCATTGTGCCGGAAATGTTTTTTTATTCATTCACTATGAAAATACATATTTGCTTACATTTTAACATGCTGCACCATAATATAACGTAATTTTTTTTGCAATTATTTTTGTAGATACTGTAGGAGTCCCTTCAGGATGTAGCCCCATATTCAATAGATCTAAACACATGCAATAAGGTTAGAATACTGTATACTTTTGCACTTGCTACTGAGTCTTGTGGCTACAGTTATTCAATCTAACAATTATTGTTTTTTCTTTCTTTTTTGTTCAGTGTTTGACAACTCTGAGCTGTGGGATACGAGGAAGATGAAGGGGTCCATGTTTGCTACTCATGAAGAAGGTAGAGTATTGAACCTAAAGTTGCTAATTTTCATGATTTCATAGACTTCATTGTTAATCTCCTCCTCCTTTTTAATATGTATTCCCTTACTTTTACAATACTTTTCGTGTACTTGCCTCTCTCTCATGCTTACAGTTAATCACTAACTATAAATTTTTTTTTTTTCTTGATTGACAACTGAGCACCATCTTGAGGGAGACGAAGGGTACCATTTTTGGTTCCAGTGCCAGAGAGGCCACCATGATGAACCTCAACCTGCTGAAACATAACCCTTCCTCTACACTTGGCTGCTTCATAACACATGGCTGCAGATAGGACGTAACCTTCATTTTCCTGCGATTAACAATGGTGGGCCACAACCAGAGAGATCATGACATTATACCGATATTGCTTTCCTCATGCCATACAGCTTTTATTTTACAGGTGCTTAAACTTTCTCCATGTTCTGTGGTTACCACAGTCTGTCTTTGCAAGGCAGGTTTTTCTGTTACCCTTTTTCCTTTTTTTTTTTAATATAGATGTATACTCTAAACTCCACATTAACGTTTAAGAAAAAGTATATTGCAGAAACATTGACATGTAGATTGTGTTTCTTAAAAAAAAAAATAAAGCACTTGATGTGTCCCATTCTGTGACATCAGTGCAATTCTATAGCGTGGGTGATGAAATGGCCATATGAGATGGTGGATTTCAGAGTCAAAAAGAAACAAACCTCAGTTTCTCTTGTTGAACACAGATTTGAGTTCCTTTTTGTCGCTCTAGATTTTTTTTGGGTGGATACTATATAAATTTATAACAGGGTAAAGACTCTTTGCTTTAATGGAAAACTATAGTGCTGTAAATATCAAACTGTATTGCTAACACTATACTTTACTCTGCACTCTTATTGTCAGTAACCTGATTGCTGGTTCAGGCTCTGCCAACATCAGGTCCTTCCAGCGCATGCATTTAGGCTTCCCCATCGGAAAGCATTTACTCAATGTGTTTCTGTAGGGTTTTTAAATAGCCTGGTTGTCTTATGCAAAGCATAAGGATGTCCATTGTTATTTCACATAGTTATATTTTAAGGACCCTGAAGTGCCACCCAAACAAGATGAAGTGCTCTTAGTGCCTATAAGTGTTCCTTTAAAAAAAACAAACAAAAAAAAAAAAAAACGCTTCTTAATCTGCTCATTGCTGGATTTTCTAAGTCATCAGTTATAAGCAAAGCTATGCATAAGCACAGTGACAAGAGGACCCTTGTGCACCATAAATTAGCATAGGCTGTTACAAAGCCATATTTCCTGTCATGGACTGTTTGGTAGAGTCTTAGTTTTGTGTCCCATAATAATTAACAGGTTGACGTTAATTACAGATACATATTTAACGGCACAGACAAATTAATGTAGATTTCAAAAGTAATTGTTTTAATCTTTTTAAAAGTGGCAGTATAAAGAAGTCTTCCACACATTCCAGCCAATCAGCAGCACACCCTCTCTAGCAGACCCTCCCAGCATCCATTTTAGATTCATTCTGAAGCTGCATGCTTAGTGAGAGGAGGGAAAGGGTAGCTGCTGCTGATTAGATAGGGAAATTGATAGCTAGGCTAGGGTATTCAGTGTCCACTACAGTCCTGAAGGACTCATCTGATCTCTGCTGTAAGAACAGCACCCCAAAAAGCCCTTTTTAGGGCTAGAACATCAGTCTGCTTTATTTATTTTTTTTCTGTGTAATGTAATTGCAGTTTCCTGCCTGCCATCTTCTGTGTCAGGGTGGATGCTGTGCCCATTTACACAGTCAGTGCCACCACTCATATCTGTTGTCACAATAGCTTAAGCTTTACATTTAAAAAAAAAAATTTTTCACTGTAATAGATTGAAGAGCAGTTAGTTGTCTGCAAGCGTGTGGGTGTCAGGCCTCCTTCAGCGTGTGCCCTGCAGAACCCTGCCAGTGTACTTTGACAGTTGCCACTCATATCTGGTGTGTCTGTAGCGTGCTTTTACAAAGAAAAAAAGTTTTCCAGTGTAAGCTAATAGCAGTCAGTGTCCTTAAAGCGGGTGTGTCAGGCCTTCAGCGTGTGCTCTGCAGAACTGTGCCAGTGCACATTGCCACTTATATCTGGTGTCACAGTAGCTTGCACGCATAGTACCACTAATCCCCAAAAAAAGGACAGGCAGAAGCAGGCCACCCCGCAGGGGCCATCGTGGTCGTGGTGCTGTGATTCCCTTTGGACCTAGAATAATGCCCAGTTTTCAGAGGCCACGTACCCTGAACTTGAAAAGTTCTGCGGACATAGTTGACTGGCTAACACAGGACACCCAATCTTCTACAGCCTCCGCTCAGAACCTTGACGCACTATCCTCCTCCAGCTTAGCTTCAGGCACCTCTCAAGATACCACTCACCCGCCTGCCGCCACCACCAAAACTAGCACCACAGCCGCTTCAGTTGGTATGTCAGAGGAGTTATTCACACATCCGCTTGAAGAAATGAGTGATGCGCAACCATTATTGCCAGAGGATGTAGATAACAGGGATATGTCTCAGGCAGGCAGCATTACACACATGGACGTACAGTGTGATGATGTTGTACCCGCTGCTGCTTCCTTTGCTGAGTTGTCAGATACAAGTGAAGCGGTTGATGATGAAGATGCGTCCATGGATGTCACGTGGGTGCCCGCTTGGCAAGAAGAAGAACAGGGCGAAAGTTCAGATGGGGAGACAGAGAGGAGGAGACGAGTTGGAAGCAGGGGGAAGTCGTCGCAAGGAGCTAGTGGCACAGTCAGACAGCATGCATCGGCACCCGGGGTCAGCCCGACAGCACGCCAAACGCATGCTGTGTCCACCACCAGAATGCCGTCATTGCAGAGCTCAGCAGTGTGGAATTTTTTTTGTGTATCTACTTCTGACAACAGCGATGCCATTTGCAACCTGTGCCAAAAGAAACTGAGTCGTGGGAAGTCCAGCACCCACCTAGGTACAACTGCTTTGCGTAGGCACATGATCTCACATCACAAACGCCTATGGGATCAACACATGAGTACAAGCAGCAAGCCTACTCTAAGCCGCCATCCTCCTCCTGGTCCAGCATCTTCAGCCACGTCAACCACTGCTGTCCTCCTTGCTCCTCTCAACCATCCGCCACTCCGTCTCCCGCCTTGAGCAGTTCCCGCTCATCTGCCCACAGTCATGTGTCTGTCAAGGACATGTTTGAGCGTAAGAAGCCAATGTCAGAAAGTCACCCCCTTGCCCAGCGCCTGACAGCTGGCTTGTCCGAACTATTAGCCCGCCAGCTTTTACCATACAAGCTGGTGGAGTCTGAGGCGTTCAAAAAATTTGTAGCTATTGGGACACCGCAGTGGAAGGTACCCCGCCGAAATTACTTTTCGCAAAAGGCAATCCCCAACCTGTACTCAATTGTGCAAAAGGAAGTAATAGCATCTCTGGCACACAGTGTTGGGGCAAGGGTCCATTTGACCACTGATACCTGGTCTGCAAAGCATGGTCAGGGCAGGTATATCACCTACACTGCGCATTGGGTAAACCTGCTGACTGCTGCCAAGCATGGAATGCATGGTTCTGCAGAGGAGTTGGTGACACCGCCACGACTTGCAGGCAGTCCTGCTGCCACCTCCTCTACTCCTCCTACTCCATCCTCTTCCATAACCTCCTCAGCTGAGTCCTCTTCTGCTGTTGCGTCTTTCTCCACATCAACGGCACCCCCCCAGCTACTATTCCACATCCCGGATACGGCAGTGTCACGCCGTCTTGGGTTTGACTTGCTTGAAAGCAGAGAGTCACACCGGACAAGCACTCCTGTCCGCCCTGAACGCACAGGTGGAAAAGTGTCTGACTCCGCAGCGACTGTATATCGGCAAAGTGGTTTGTGACAACGGAACAAATTTGTTAGCGGCATTGAAGTTGGGCAAGTTGACATGTGCCGTGCATGGCACGTGTGTAATCTGATCGTACAATGCTTTGTGCATAAGTACACAGGTTTACAGGACGTCCTGAAGCAGGCCAGGAAGGTGTGTGGCCATTTCAGGCATTCCTACACGCCCATGGCTCACTTTGCCGATATCCAGCGGCGAAACATGCCAGTGAGGCGCTTGATTAGCGACAGCCCAACACGTTGGAATTCAACACTCCTAATGTTCGACCGCCTGCTCCAACAAGAAAAAGCCGTTAATGAATATTTGTATGACCAGGGTGCTAGGACAGCCTCTGGGGAGCTGGGAATTTTTTTGCCACGTTACTGGACGCTCATGCGTCCTTTTGAGGAGGTGACAAATTTAGTCAGTCACACCGAAGGCACCATCATACCATTTGTTTTCTTCCTGGAGCGTGCCCTGCGAAGAGTGCTGGATCAGGCCGTAGATGAGCGTGAAGAGAGAGTTGTGGTCACCATCACCCCCAGAACCAGCCTTATCAGCATCGCTTGCTGGACCTGCGGCAACGCTGGAAGAGGATTGTGAGGAAGAGGAGTCAGAGGAGGAATGTGGCTTGGAGGAGGAGCAAGACAACCCACAACAGGCATCCCAGGGTGCTCGTTGTCACCTATCTGGTACCCGTGGTGTTGTACGTGGCTGTAGGGGAAGAACATACCTTCATTGACATCAGTGAGGAGGAGGAACAGGAAATGAGTAGCTCGCCATCCAACCTTGTGCAAATGGGGTCTTTCATGCTGTCGTGCCTGTTGAGGGACCCTCGTATAAAAAGGCTGAAGGAGAACGACCTGTACTGGGTGTCCACGCTACTAGACCCCCGGTATAAGCAGAAAGTGGCGGAAATGTTACCGAATTACAACAAGTATGAAAGGATGCAGCATTTGCAAAATAAATTGAAAAGTATGCTTTACACAGCGTATAAGGGTGATGTCACAGCACAACGGGAATCTAACAGGGGGAGAGGTGGAAGTCATCCTCCTCCTCCCATGACCACGCCGGCAAGGACAGGACGCTTTAGAGACGTGTTGTTGATGGAGGACATGCGGACCTTTTTAAGTCCTACGCATCGCCACAGCCCTTCGGGATCCACCCTCAGAGAGCGACTCGACCGACAGGTAGCAGACTACCTCGCCTTAACTGCAGATATCGACACTGAGGAGCGATGAACCCCTTGACTACTGGGTGTGCAGGCTTGACCTGTGGCCTGAGCTATCCCAATTTGCGATAGAACTTCTGGCCTGCCCCGCTTCAAGTGTCCTGTCAGAAAGGACCTTCAGTGCAGCAGGAGGTATTGTCACTGAGAAGAGAAGTCGCCTAGGTCAAAAAAGTCTAGATTACCTCACCTTTATTAAGATGAATGAGGGATGGATCCCGAAGGGACTGACACTGGGCGATACATTAGATTTAAAAAGGCCTGATGAGATGAGCTGCCTTGGGCTAAAAATGGTCCACACGCTGCTGTATTTTAGCTCTGAATGCCGGTTGACTTGCGTGACTTATCCGCCACCAACTAGGGTTCAAGCCGCCATGTTTTAGGGCACTTTCTGCCTGTGAAACAAACATCAATTTTTCTGGCCGATGCTACAATACCGAATTTTTCAGGCATGTGTACATGCCTAATTTTTAGGCCCTCTGGTGCTGCACTGTGGCTTCAAAAACCAAACCAAAAAAAAAGGCACAGTGACCCTATGTAGGGGGAACAGTCCCTATTCTGCTCTGTGTCAGTGTGTATCAGGGATTTGACTATCTTTATTCAGATTCCAAAATTACAATTCCAGGAAAAATTTAACAAACATTTACAAGAACATGTTATGCACATCATAGAAACAACATGAATTCTGCTCTTTGTCAGTGTGTATCAGGGGCTTTGAGGACAGGTGTCAATCCATATCTGCCAAGTGACCCTATGTAGGGGGAACAGTCTCTATTCTGCTCTGTGTCAGTGTGTATCATGGTCTCTGAGGACGGGGAACAGTCTCTATTCTGCTCTTGCATTTCTATTTCTTCTTAGATAACAAAAAATTCTGAG